CAGCTTGGACCAATGTAAGCATGCCCGTGCCACACCTACATTCAGCTTGGACCAATGTAAGCATGCCCGTGCCGTACCTACATTCAGCTTGGACCAATGTAAGCATGCCCGTGCCATACCTACATTCAGCTTGGACCGATGTAAGCATGCCCGTGCCATACCTACATTCAGCTTGGACCGATGTAAGCATGCCCATGTGCCATATCTACATTCAGCTTGGACCAATGTAAGCATGCCCATGCCATACCTACATTCAGCTTGGACCGATGTAAGCATCCCCGTGCCATACCTACATTCAGCTTTGACCGATGTAAGCATGCCCGTGCCATACCTACATTCAGCTTGGACCAATGTAAGCATGCCCATGCCATACCTACATTCAGCTTGGACCAATGTAAGCATGCCCATGTGCCATACCTACATTCAGCTTGGACCAATGTAAGCATTCCCATGTGCCATACCTACATTCAGCTTGGACCAATGTAAGCATTCCCGTGCCATACCTACATTCAGCTTGGACCAATGTAAGCATGCCCGTGCCGTACCTACATTCAGCTTGGACCAATATAAGCATGCCCATGCCACACCTACATTCAGCTTGGACCAATCTAAGCATGCCCATGCCACACCTAAATTCAGCTTCCTGAGGGCAGGGACTGATGTGAATGTACGAACAGGGGCAGACTGACTATTTGGAAACTCGGGCACTACCCAAGGGCCCGGGGTCAGTAGGGGGCCCCATGAGATGCCCCCGGTACCTTTTTCATAGGCTTTTTTGAGTTTGGGCAAGGACACAGGGGCCCCATGATCCCCTATTGCCCGGGGGCCCCATGAGTTGTCAGTCTGCCCCTGTGTACGAATATATATGTAACGCGATGAGTAAATTCATGGTTCTATATAAGTACCTGAAATAAATAAATGTACATATAGCAGAATAGGAAGAAGCATCTGCTGTATCATGGGAACAGACACTTTTCTCTGGTTTAGCCTAGTTATGCCATGCTAGAAAGGAGTTGTCACGCATTTTTAATTCTTTCACATGCGTCTAAAAATCAATGCACAACAAAGGATAGAGTGGCGAGTGGTTAGAACTATGATCAGGTTTCTATTGGTGTCTATGTCCCCCTTATGCAGATTTTGTCTAATTGTCCTGATCATCAATGTCACTGGAATGAGAGCAAGGGAAACGCCAAAAATTTGCATAGCCACTAGAAGAGAGAAAATTGGAAGTCATCTTGTTGTTGTGACAACGGTCTAAGCAAAGGTTTTTTCACATCCTCTCGCAGGACAAGAAATGAAAGGAAATCTTCCTGATGAGATACAACAGATGGCAAAAAAAGAGAAAAAATATAATATAATACATAGTTTCAACCCTCTACATTAAAATATTACTAAAGCCCATTTTTGTGATAATGAATCTGTAGTCTTTTTCAGATATTTCACACAGGTTATGTGGTATGTTCAGATATAAACGTTTTTTTTTCTCTATGTACTGTGTCAGTTGGTTTTCAATCTGCAGATAAAGATTAGCAAAATTTGCTCAAAAGCAAAACATTTCATAATAAATATAGAAATGCCCTGTTAATTTCAGCTGATTTCTTGCATCTAAAGAGACCACATTATTAGGAAATGATCGTTAAATTTAAATAAGAACTCCGGAATAGGCAAAAAAAAAAAAAAAACACCCATTAGTACATCCCCCTACACAACACACTAAACCACGGGCGTTAAACTGGCAGCCCTCCAGTTGTTGCCAAGTCCCATTGACAGTGACAAGCATGACTCCAAAGGCAGAGGCATGATGGGACTTGTAGTTTCGCAACAGCTGGATGGCCGCCAGTTTGACACCCCTGCACTAAACCGTTAATAAGATTTTGAAAATCCTTCCCATTTAGGAGAAAAGTCTAACTGAATTTTCATGACCTTATCTCTGTAATTCAAAAGCATCTGCTCTGCCAAGGAGGAGGTGTAACAGCCGGGATTACATCATATCCTCTCTCTCTGCAATAAAAGGAAACTACAGTTCCCATCTACTACAAGGCATTGTAGTGAATGTGAGAAGATACAGTAGGTCTGTACTGAATGTGGGCGCGTACACTAGATCTGTACATGTTAAATGCGCCTGAGAGTCTCGGTCCGCCCTCCACTGGAAGTGGGGCTGAATTACATCACTGCTTCTTGGAGAAGGGATGTGCCAAGACCAGTGGCTGGGGGAATAGGAGGCATAAGCAAAAGGTCTTACAAAAAGGAAACCAAAGAGAATTAACAGTTTGATATGAAAATGAATAGACTATTTCAGAGCAACTACTGAGTGAACCAGAAGAACACATTCAGTGAAGGTAGGAAATCAGCAATAAGGACATGTAAAGAAGTTTTTGGCCAGAGTTCTGCTTTAAACTCATTTGTGCTCTCTTGAATGTTTTAAGTTCAACGGATATTTGATATCACTGTTTTTGTATAAAATCCTCATTCTACAAATATACATTTCATCAACCCAGCATGATATCTACATTTATTAACTGATCCTACAAACTGAAGACAGCTTCTCTTAAATTGGTAATATACCAGTAGAATTTTGTCTTCATTTTGTTCCCTTGATTTTCAAACTGTTAGTGGGGTCAAATCAGCGTTAGTTTTCGTCTGCAGTGACGAGAAAATTCAAAAGGAGCAGTATGGAAAATTTTTCTCAATGAACAAAGTTCTAACTGTGAATGTGGTTTTCCTTTATGGAATCCCGTTTAAGATGTCTTGGATTCCATTCAAATTGCAGATCTGTGCGAAAATAAAGTAGAACTATAGGCAAAACTTTTTATTTCATTGAGGATAGAGTAAGAGAGAGTTATAACCCGTTAGTTTATTTTTTGCCATCTGTGTCCAATTGGGGAGATTTACCTTCATTTCCTGTCCCTTAGCCAAGACAGGAAGTGAGAATATCGCTGAAAATTAAGGGAATACCTTGGGGACCCCTCAGGTCACCAGAACTAGTGTGCAGATTGGAAAATTCCCCCTTACTTTTCTGGGGACAACCCAAAATGAGGGATTTCATTCACTTTCACTGATAATGGTAAACAGGACAAATAGGGAGGGTGAATCTCCCGAATTGGGGCAGAGACTGCAGTAAGAACCTGACATGTGTTCTAATCCATTCCCACTTCATCCAAAAACTAAAAAAAAAAAAAAAAAAAAAAAAAAAGTTTTGCTTTAGTTATACTTTAAGGGCTTTTAAATTAGTGGACTTTGAGAGCAAGAAGAATGTTCTGACACTTGATTTTTCTATCAAACGAGCAAAAAAAAATCTAACTGTGTATGGTCAACTTTAGGGGAGGTGTGGGGCAAGGGTCTCTCCTTCACCTGAATTCTGCAGCAGTGCAAGTTTGTGTAACCTACCTCTATTGGGACCTATTGGTTGCATAATAGTACATATTTATATGGAATAATTCCAAATTTAAATTGACTGCAAAGAAAAATGTATTATAATATATTATTTAACAAAAATAATTAATGGTTTTTAAACAATACATCAAGCGCCAACATTCTGTAGACCCCAGAAGTACCTAGGTACTAAATGATACGAACAAAAAAAACCCCCCAAACATTAAATAGGAATACTTACATGCTGCACAATCATCTCTGCTCTTGCCAAGCTCGCGGATATATTCTGCAGCATATCCTGAACAGTATTTGGCCGTCGGGACATAGTGCCACTTTGTCTGTTAAGAAAAGTAAAACAATTAGCACAAGAAGATGTGAAATACTAAGATTTATATTAATTATACAGTATATACTAAGGAAATGATTTTTAAAAAATGCTGTCACCTACCCATTAAGGGCAGGATGACAATACCTCCTGATAGCTCGCTCCCCCAGCAAGGTATATTCACTTATCTGCACTCCCTTGCCACCTCTTTGCTGAAGGAATCCATACTGAGTAAGCTCCAGTATTGGATGTTATATGATGTCACTGACCCCACCCCCCATGTGACAATGTTTGGGCATGAAAATTGGCTGCTCAGGCTTGAGCTCTGTCAAACAGCAGTGGCCAAATGCTCACCTCTCCCAAACCCAGAATCTCAGATCCATTACAGCGACAAAGCAGGAAAGCAACAAGGGACTGTATGCCTTGCTTGGAGGTAGGCTATCAAGAGGCTGTTTGACCGAAATTTGAAATCTAACAGCTTAAAGTTAGACTTCTATTGCTATCCGCATAGGTATTGGGTTTATTCCCTTTCTCTGTTAGGACAGGACGAGATGAACTAGGTTTTAAGTACCCAACCAGAACAGCTTTACCATTGACTCCTAAAAAGGTAACAGGAAACCAGTCATGAGAATAGTCCAGAATGAACAGAGGTAAGAATTTCTGACTTTCACTTTCTGCATGCTTGTTAAAGTGCATCCAAAGTATTGAAGCAAACACAGGTAATTGACCTATTCACGATCAAGTCAACAATGGTGGTCTACAGTATGTACAGTACCAACCTTTTGAAATTAATACTTGGAAGTCATGATGGGCATAGGCAACAGTCATTCTTGCTAACCAGTTCAGCCAATTCAGATGTGCCAATTATCAGCCATTCCAGTATCAGAAACTAATTTGTAGACATTATTATTAAACCAAGCAATCTGAAAGTGAAGTCCAGGGTAGACAAAATTGGAGCTTCAAGCTCCAGGGCTGTCAATCTTGGTCCTGGTTTCACGACAGTCACCCACTTGAAGTAAGCTTGCACCCCGCAAGAGACTTTGGACTGCACATACTCTTTCTAGAAGTGGTGTACAAAAATTGAAAATGACAGCCCCAGAATTTGCAGCTTCAAAAACGTAGTCACAAATGTTAGCTTGTCTTTTAAGAGAATTTGTACATTGCAATAGATTTAACAAAATCACCCCTGCCAACACTTACATAGCTGAAGGAGAACATCCAGAGAGGGTTTTCAGTTTTCTAACATACCCCCCCAGAGTTTTTTTTACCTTTCTACAGTGATTAACCTTATTATGATTATTATCAGGCCTTGAAATTTCCACTCGTCTGCTTGCCAATGGCGAGTGGAAATTATGGTGGGGTGAGTGTGTCCCCAGGGCCGTCTTGCTGAGCAGACTCGGAACTCAGGGCCGGATCTGTTACTCGCGCTGGGAGCCGTCAGACTGCTCAATAGCTGAGTGCAGTGAAAGCAAAGGAAGCAGTGTGTGCTGTGCTCTCTGCCTCTCCCCCTAGAGTGTAGTACCCAGCTCTGTGAGTGAACAATGAAGTACTGCAACTTTTTATAGGGCTGTGTGTGTGTGTGTGTGTGTGTATGTACATGTACATGTGTGTGTGTTTGTATGAACATGTGTCTTTGTGTATCTGTACATGTGTCTGCGTGTATGTACATGTATGTGTACATGTGTCTGTGCATGTACATGTACGTACATGTGTCTGTGTATGTAAACGAGAGTGAGGCTCTGCATACACCTTTCAAGCAGCCGCTCTCAGATCCCACCTAGTCCCCATGCCACATGTCTATCTTCTTCCGTTCCTTCTTCCATGCCGCCCCCCTGAAAAATGCTGCCCTAGGCAAATGCTTTGTTTGCCTTGTAGTAAATACACCCCTGAGAGCACATTCTAAAGACAAGCATTGTTAACTAAAACACTCCACATCAGAGCATCACAATGCGGGACACCAAGTTTGCCCAAAACTCTCACTCTAGTTGGCCAATACACAGATTAGTTTAATAACCTAATCATATTTTTTAAAAATTCAAGCAATATAAGCATTTTTAATTTATTGAAACTGCCATTTTACCCTTTAAAGAAACCCTGTCATTTTTAACAACTGAACCTTGCAAAGCAAATGCTTACCAGTTTCCCTGCCTATGCCATCAAACTCAGCAAATCTTGTTGAAAGGTCTTTTTACATTCTAGACTTCAGAGTTCCATCGGCTAACCACTACATCAGTGTAGGATACAGTAGTGCAGTGGGGAACCAGTCTTCTAAAATACCTAGAAGTGTGATGGATGCTTACAGTTATTGTAAATGTTCCTTTTTTTATATTTAAGCAACAAACATGTCATACTCCCAGACTCTGTGCAATGAATTTGAACAGAGCAGCCCCGTTCATACTCTGCTCAGGGTCCCCCACCAGCGCTCCCAGCTCCTCTCTTCTGCAAGCGGCTTGCTAGGGGGGCACTCGCAATGCCGGGAAAAGGCCAACTAGCACCCAGGGAACACCCCCCCCCAAGATGTATGAGCCTTGTGTGTAGGCAATAACCCTCCCAGCCCCCAGCAAAAACTAATCTGCAAGCTTACCAGATAAGCATGAAGTCCCTTTGAAAGCCAAATTCTCAAAAAAAAATAAATAAATTCCCCCTCCTCCCAGTACAAATTCCACTCCGTCATTGAAATCCCCAACTCTGCATAGATCTATGCCCCTTCCAGCTCAAATCCTCTCCTTTACCAAATTCCCTCTCCTAGCACAAATCCTCTATTCCTCAAATTTCCTCTCTGAGCGCAGATCCCCCTCAACATCCCTACTAGCATAAATCCTCCTTCATTTCTCCCCCCCCCAGCACAAATCTTCCCTCATCTTCCCTTCTAGCACAAGCCCCCTTCCTTATTTACAGCACAAATCAACCAAACTCCCCTCCAGTACATATTCCCCCCATCATCCCTAATACCCCCCCTCAAATCACCCTTCCTAACACATACTGTATCTCCCTCCCTCGGTTTCCCCTCCTAGCACAAATTCTCAATACCCCCCAACACAAATCTCCCCATAGCACAAATTCCGCCCCCCCTACCACACATCACCCCCAAACCTCTCCTCCCACCACATATCACCCCCCCAAACCCCTCCTACCACTAATCCACTTCTCCCTCCCCCTCCTAGCACAAATACGGTCCTCTCCAGCACAAATATATGCTGGAGCTGCATTTAAGTTTTTTACCTAAAGCAGGGAATGCATTAGTCCTCATGCACACCGGATGTTTTAATAACACTGGTAACATTAGCTGTGCACAGTCACATTAATAAGTGAGTTTTTCAGCATTTTTGCATTAGCGTTTAGTGGCTTTTTTTAGCTTTTTTGGGGGCCAAAGAAAGTCCAAAAATGCTGGTTTGCTGCGTATTTCAGCGTTCGAGCATTTTTACAGCTAGAAAACGCCTCTAGAAGCCCACTAGTCCTGGGTTTTTTGCCAGCCAAGAAATGTTGATTACAGTTTATGTGTACATGGACACATAGGATAACATGCTGGGGAGTTTACTGGCTGTAGAAAAAACCGTCAAAAACCAAAAACAGCCGCTGTAAAAACATCCAGTGTGCAGGAGGACATGAGTACAAAGTGGTTCTAAAGCCTTAAAGTCTTTTTACTTTAACACATTCTAGGTCTTAAGGTAAAAAAGAAAAACCTTCTTTGTCTGGGTTTGCCCCCCCCCCCAGCTCCCCCTTATGCTTACCTGAGCCTCATCAAGATCTATCGGGTCTCTCCGCTCTGCCCCTTCTCACAGAGCAGAAACATATCAGAGTGTTCCATTGGCTCCTGCCGCTTTCAATCAAACTCTGATGAGGGAGTAAGGGGCAAGACCATGCCCCGCTGTCTGTGTCTATGGACTCAGGCAGTGGGGCTCAGGAGCAAGCCTGCACGAGTTCCCTCATAGGAAGCATTTTCCTATGGGGGCACAGGCTGAAGAGGAGGAGTCAGGAGCGACAGCGGGGGACCTGCAAAAAGGAGGATCTGGGCTGCTCTGTGCAAAACCATTGCACAGAGTAGGTAAGAATGATAAGCTTGTTATTTTAAGTAAAAAAAAAATCTGAAGCTTTACAATCACTTTAAGGTAAAAGTCCTTCTGACTTTATTGGGACCACTTTGAGATCTGTTAGCAAGAATATATCTGACTCCACAGAGTTTAGCACTTCAGCCAGTGGGACAAGTATTAGACCGTGCTAATTCCCGCTGAGCAAGCAGATGACAGGCATAAGCAGAGTGGACACGGACACAGCCCACTTTCCTCTATAAACATTTGGAAGTAAACAGACAGGCAGTCATCCTATCCGCTAGATGGATGGGGAACAGATCCCCGATCCACCTGTTTTTAGCAGAGCGGAGCAGATCGCATGCAGGCGGATGTAAAAACGGAAAGTTGATTTTCTCAAGGAAAAGAAAACTTCTACACAACTTACTTTATTAATCCCATTGTGTGTAAATTCCTATTTACTTATTTAATCTGCACAAATGGATAGTTGAGAGGTGGATATATAGACCCAATTTATTGTGTGACCATGCTCAACAACTTTTATTAGTAAATCAGCTCAAATATTTATTGGTACTAACAGAGCACACAGACATCTATCGGAAGCGAGATAGGCAGGGCTGACACCATACCGGATATCGTATGTACTCTCTAGCGCCTCAGGATATGCACAGCCAAAAAGGGAAGCCAAGGGTACCAGGACAGCGACAACCAAAAGGAAATGCTTCAGGGGTGCAGCCCTCCTCAGATGGGGAAATCAGCCACTGGATAAAGAGAAAACAGGTGGCGCACACACCTAGTGCATTATCCAAGGTTTATTGTAAGGAGTGAAAAAATAATAAAAACATACTCACAGAGGAAGCATGTATCTAAAAAGCATAGAAAAATGACAATGGCTACAACGGCAGGCAAGGTGAGGCATCACCAGCAAGGCTCCCATTTTCCATTCATCACACATCTGCATCAGAGGCTGCATCAGAAACGCGTCAGCCATTTAACCGCACTGACAGTGAGAACACCTTGCCCGCCATTGTGGCCATTGTCATTTTTCTATGTTTTTTAGATACATGCTTCGTCTGTGATTATGTTTTTATTTTTTCACTCCTTACAATAAACCTTGGATAATGCACTAGGTGTGTGCGCCACCTGTTTTTCTCTTTATCCAAGGGCTGACACCATATGCTGAGGAATTCAGAGCGGTGTTATAAAAATATCAAAAAGGAAAGAAAGGATCATACTATTATTTCTGGCACATCATCAGTTATGACTGTCCTTGCAGCATGTTTAAGGGGGAAAACTGTCGGTGAATGTGCAGTATCTAAGATGTACTAAATACCAGTATGTTTTTCTATTTTTCCTTTGACATACACTCCAACTGCTAAAAATTAAGTATTGACCTGTTTAACAATGTATTTCCGTAGTTGCTTTATTTTATTCTTTGATACAATGATACAAAAGTATATTTTTTTTAGCTACAACTGTCCTCAAGTGAGATGCTTTCAAAATGTCTAACATGAAAATTATGTGATTTTATATTATACAAAACAAAAAAAAGGCACAAATCAGTGATAATGGCAACACAACAGCTCGCTGTATCATCTGCATTCAGATGATGTCACACAATAACATGAACATTATGCAGTTTTTCCACTTGTCAAATATTCATTGGAGTCAAACACCTTGCTTAAAAGCCTAACACATTTGCCATGACAAGCCTTTGCTGGTTTGCAGTGGGTGGGCATGGTTTCATTTGAACAATGTCTCAACTTGTAGGCAAGTAACAAAAGGATGATTATTATGCTGACTCATTTAAAAGATGTGCAGATTAGAGGAGCTTCATAATATTCAACAAATAAAAGTCTGTTTTAATTACACCCACATTGAAGTATGTAGTGCTGAAACCCAAGATGGATTTGAAGAACAAATCTGAGCATAATTTGGCAAACAAAGGAAAACTCCTGACTTGATAGGTTTTGTTAAAACACAATAGGGGAGTTTGTTCAGCTACCCAATTTCAATGCATTTTTATGCAGGATTTTTCCTGCACACTCCACTTCCTTAACCCCTTTATAACTATCCGACACACACGTGCAGCCAAAAGGTGGGCTTTGTTAGCAGCCGTTGTTTATTTGCCAAGAGTGTTCAGTGAGCAGTGGCAGAAAGCTCTCGGTCCAGGCAACCAATCAGTAGCCTTCAGCATCGGCTTCCAGTCATGTGATCACAAATCGCCAATCCTTTCAGTCCCCAGGTGTTGTGAACTTTTTAAATGGACACCGGTGCGGGCAGGAATGGATTCTTATATGAAATGGTCATCAAGTATGTATGTATTGTAAATATATCATCAAGAAAGCAATTGACACCTGCAAGTTTGTCTTCCTACCTATACTATGAATATGCTTATAGCTGAAACCAAGTATTTGTAATGTACAGCGCTGAGCGAACTATTGGCGCTTTATAAATACTGTATAATAATAATAATAATTTGGATGCAAAGCACTAGAGGTATTTGAACTTCATTGTCACAAGACACTATATTGCCAAAAGTATTGGGACGCCTGTCTTTACACGCACATGAACTTTAATGGCATCCCAGTCGTAGTCCGTAGGGTTCAATATTAAGTTGGCCCACCATTTGCAGCTATACCAGATTCAACTTCTCTGGGAAGGCTGTCCACAAGGTTTATGAGTGTGTCTATGGGAATGTTTGACCGTTCTTCCAGAAGCGC